TGTATTGTGTATATCAACTGGCCAAGTGCTTTTATCAAGAACTGTGATGTCTTTCATCAAACTTAAGTCATTAGTATCTTCTAATAATCTACTTTTTAGATTATTACAGATATTAGTTATGAACTGATTTTTTTAATTGGTACCTACAATTTTTGAATAATTTATTAGTTTTACATTTTTGAAAATAATATCATTATTTTCCACTTCAACTTCTTTCAAATGATCTCCTATATTATCTTTAAAAGATTCTAAAATTCTAATTGATCTTTTAATATTTAAATATGCTTCCATGAAAGTTATTTTTTTGATTTTAAAGATTCAAAGATAAATTAGAAATTTCTAAAAGCACGTCACACATTAAAGATAAATCATACAAAAATTTTTTTTTATATGATATACTAATTAATGATATGTAATATTTGTTAAGAAAATACTTTTTATATTGTAATTTATAAAACTCTATATTAAAATATCCAGTATTTCTATTTATTTGTTAATAATAATTAAGATTTTGACGAGATCTTGTGATTTGAACAATGAAGGTACATTTCGCAATTTGTACAGTAATTATTGCACACATCGCGAATTGTATAATGAAACTTGTACAATCTAGTTACTTTGTATAGCAACATTGTACAATTCACGATGTGTACAAAAATCACTGTACCTACAAATTGCGAAATGTACAATTCCGGACATTGTATGTAATATATGCACATACAATATACATTAGTGTATAAATCCTATTGGCAAATACATGATGGGTATGTACGTTTATAGTAAGTATTAACATTGATTATAAATATAGTATTTATAATCAATGGTATTAATAATTACAATTCAAAATATTTACCAACCTATATAGTACATATTTAACTTTTCCACAATAATTAATAATTACGCAACACAAATTAAAAATGTAAAATTATAATATAAGTGCCTTAAAACAAATGATAATAGGTACATCATTTTTAATAAATATTGTACTCATAAATGAATTACTTTTTAATTTTTTTTATTTTCTGGACATTTATACTGATTGAATGGATTGTTGCACTTCTGCACATAGATATTAATAAAGAAGTTTAAAAATGTATCTAAAAAATGTGTATTGTGTCTTTG